TCCTGTAATTTAATTTTTCTATTAATTAACTTAAAATAAAATAAAAAATATTTTATTTTATTTTATTTTTATTTTTCTTTAAGGATGGTTTTGAACATAGTACCGAAGGTATGTGTGAATCAGATACAAACAGTGGAAGAGGCAATGAAAATGGTGTTGATTTAAATCGAGATTTTCCAAGTCAATTTGATAATGTATTAACAACGGATTTATTTAGTAATAGACAACCGGAAACTATTGCAATTATGAAATGGATATTAAAAGAAAATTTTGTTTTATCGGGAAATTTGCATGGTGGAGATATAGTAGCTTCTTATCCATACGATGAAACAGCACATCATATAGCTAGTACTTATGGAACAACACCCGATGATTCATTATTTCGACATTTGGCACGTGTTTATTCAAATAAACATTTGAAAATGCATTTTGGTTAGTCATAGGAAAACATATTTTCTGTCTGAATATGAATAATTTTTTCATGTTTTTAGGTAATTCTTGTACTGAACATTTTCCTGAAGGTATTACAAACGGTGCAAAAATGTATGATGTGGCAGGTATGTTCCGAAAAATTGACCGTACAGCACGTTGATTTTTTTGGTTTCGCGTGCCATTTTTTATGTGGATATCACAGAGGATCGCGATTTGCACCATCGTATTCGCTATGATCTCTTGTCTATATGATTCAGTTTTAATTACAAAAAACTTCGTTTTGTCAAGTTTTTATTTAAAAAAAGAATAAGTGAGTTTTTATGGTCGAAAAATTATCCATAAAGCATAAAAAATGACAAAATAAAGGCTGGACTTTGATCTTAAAGTGGGAATTTCGGAAGGAAAAGTCTCTCTTAGCTCTTTCTCACTTTCATGAACGCTGAAAAGTTAAAAAAATCATTTCATCACTTCTATTTGAAAAATATTTTTGATAAATGGCGTCTAGACGAAAGGAGTATTCTCGTGATATCAGATGCTAAGGCGATGAAATATTTTTTTCAAGTACTTGTGAGATGACTTGAACTGTGAGGATCAAGGTACATCAAAATATATACTTTGGATGGTATTTAAGCACATTCGAACTTACTAAGTTTGAAAAAAAGACGAAACACCGATCCCCATTTCCCAATGTTTATTAAAATCTACAAATTCAAAAGCTATTTTGTCAGCGGATAGAACACATCAGAACGTACTAGAAAATGTCGAATAGACAAAAAGCGCAACTCATTTCTGTCGAGTTAAAGGGCAGAACAAAATCATAGCTAATATATCATTAACTTGAAACCGGCGCCAAATGAACAAACTGACACCAAAGCAAAGCAAATCGATATTAAACACTCTTTTACGGCTTAAAGTTAACCATGATAGGTCTA